ATGAATGGACTGTACCATTAAGGGGGCTCTGAGGATGGACCACTCCTGCTCACTGAATGGACTGTACCATTAAGGGGGCTCTGAGGATGGACCACTCCCACTCACTGAATGGACTGTACCATTAAGGGGGCTCTGAGGATGGACCACTCCCGCTCAATGAATGGACTGTACCATTAAGGGGGCTCTGAGGATGGACCACTCCCACTCACTGAGTGGACTGTACCATTAAGGGAGCTCTAAAGATGGACTGCTCTAGCTTTCCGAAAGAACCTTCCCATTTAAAGGGCCCTGAGGATGGATTGTTCCGTTTTGCTGAATGTTTGCGGTGGTTTGGCACACAGCAACTTTTTAACTTCAATTCTTTATTGTCATGTGTACAAGTACAAGTACCGTGTACAATGAAATGCTTACTTGCATGAGCTCCTGCAGACAGTGAACATAGACATCAAGACAGACAACAGGATGACAAGAGATGACATGAATGATAAAGTGAATTTTAAATAAGTAGAATAAATAAGACCAAGTAAAATAAATAAGACCAAGAGACAGAGAGAAGTATATGTATGGGTAGCAGTGGAGGTGATACAGGTTACTGATTGTTCATGAGTCTGATTGCAGTTGGGTAGAAACTGTTCCTAAACCTGGAGGTGCGCGTCCGAATGGACTTCAGTCGCTTCCCAGATGGTAGGAGGGTGAAAAGTGACAGTGCAGGGTGGCTGGGGTCTTGCCTGATACGGTTCACTTCCCTGAGACAGCGTGTAGTGTGGATGTCGCGGATCGCAGGGAGCTGTGTGCCCGTGATCTTCTGTGCTGAGTGCACCAGCCGCTGCAGAGCTCTGTGGTCCTGAACTGAGCAGCTGCTGTACCAGGATGTGATGCATCCTGTCAGGATGGATTCCACAGTGCACCTGTAGAATCTGCACAGGGTTGTGGGGGACATCCGGGCTTTCCTCAGTCTCCTGAGGAAGTAGAGGCGTTGTTGTGCTCTCTTGACTATTGCCGCCGTGTGACTTGACCATTTGAGGTCATCAGTGAGGGTGACTCCGAGGAGCCTAAAGCTGCTGATCTGCTCCACAGCCTCACCTCCAATGTAGATGGGGCTGTGCTCTGTTGTCTGTTTGCGGAAATCCACAATCATCTCCTTAGTTTTGTTGACGTTGAGGGAGAGGTTGTTGTCCTGACACCATTCTTCCAGGAGTCTGACCTCCTCCCTATAGGCCGTCTCATCGTCCTCGCTGATCAGACCTATTACGGCGGTATCGTCAGCAAACTTCAGGATGGTGTTGGAGCTGTACTTAGCTACACAGTCATGGGTGTAGAGAGAGTAAAGCAGGGGGCTCACTGTATGCGTATTTTATGGATCACTTTCAGTTATTGCTTTTAAAATTTGTACATAAATAAGTCATTTATGGTGCTTGTACTATCTCAGAATTCCCTTTGTACATAATGGTATTGTTTTTAGTTTCAGTCAAAGTGTATTGTCATAAAATCACAAAAGTAGGGCGCTGTGTTAGGGCTCGTTCCCACTATCCACGTTGCATTGAGCATTTCATCAACGCGCGCATTCTGCGCTTCGCTAGAACACCATACATTTCATAGAAAGTATGTACGATGTTCTCACTAGTGCACAGCGTTGCAGCGCATTTTGAAAACGCACTGCTGCACGCATTTTTCTGCACTGCACACTCCCATTGATGACAATGAAAAATGGATACAAACGCATTCAGAGTGTTTGTATGCGTATTTTACTCCCTCTTTTCCCCACAAACATTAGGGACAATCATAGAAATATCATGTACAATCATAGAAACATCATGTACAATCATGGAATCACTTTTTTGACTTCCCTAGTGTGAACATACCCTTACTGATCATCGAAAAATCTGGCAAAAATGCCGCTTAATTTGTACGTTTTCACAAAAAAAAAAGCAGTACATAAAATAGTTATTTATCCGTCCTAAATGTTTAAAAAGTGTCTTGGCTGCCTCAGACACTCATTTAAATGCAAGAAGTAGTTACATGTTACACATTATGATAACTTGGAGGCTCATGCTAAACAAATATTGATACAAATTTGCCGTACAGATGGACCCCAATGCAGCGAGAAGCTGAGCAAACACAGAGCTCTCCATCACGCAGCTTGGTGACAGCCTGTTTCCCAGAAGGATGAAGTCAACTGCAAATCAAAAGACCACAATTTTTAAATACACACACACACACTCTCTCTGAAAACTTTGAACATAAGCAGTACCAGTCAAAGTTTTGGATACACCAAGCAGCCTACAAAGGGCAGTGTAATGTGTCACATCACATGATCTGACCACCAGACCTTTAACCAATGGAAATGGTTTTGGAGGAGTTTGACGGAGAGTGAAGGAAAAGCAGCCAATGAGAGCTCAGCATATGTGGGTCCCCCTTCAGGACGGCTGGTAAAGCATCTCAGGAGGCGCGTCATGAACCTGCCGTAGTGGAGACAGTCAGTCAGTCAGTCCCTGGAGCGATTGGGGTTAAGGGCCTTGGTCAAGGGCCCAATGGTGGGATCACTCTGCCGACCAGGGATTTGAACCCGCAACCTTCTGAGCCCCACCCCCTCCAACAACTTTTAAATATTTTTTTATTTATTCCTAAAATGTTGAGGATAATACAAATAAACCTTTCTTAGGATAGTATGTCCAAACTTTTGACTGGTGCATATGGGCTCTATGAATAATGAAATAATATTGTCAAGTGGAAGAACAGCCATGAAAGGGGGGGGGGTCTTCGTGTGCATTGGGATCAACCATCACAATCCCCCCCCCCCCCCTTGATCTAATAGGCTGCCTCACAGCACAAATGACAATGAAGCTGAATAGATCTGCGCTAGCTTCTGATTGGCCAAGATAAAGATGATGTCACTCCTTATCTTCTTATCACAGCCTCTGTGGAACAGAGTCTACAGGTAATTCTTCATGTCAGTGTTTGATTATTTGATCTTACTTCCCACTGATGTCAGATAATCGTAACGAAGAGATCAGATTTTATAACGTAGGACAACGTCATGCAGTCAGAAGCCAAGAGGACTGTAAAGAAATTCAGCAGTGCCACACATATGACCTTTTCTGTTTGAACATTTTTCCCAAGTTAATCCCTTTAATGACAAATATATTCAAAGCTGGGCACCATGTTCTGCGTCATTCAAGGGCAAACTGAATCATCGCCTGTTTCCATAAACCCAGAACATGACCCCAGTGTTGGCTAGTCCCTAAAGTACTTGGTTTATACCTTGTTATTCTTCATAAACCAAGTGCGTTCCTCTCTGGTCTTCAGGGTTTTACTGGGACTCATCACTGTCTGAGCCCAGTAAGGCAGATATGTGGAGCCATCCTGCTGATTTCCCACAAAGCTAATGAACGGTTGACTTGCAGCCAGTTAGCGACCTGGAATTGCACTCATTAGCTGCATGACCCCATGACTACCTGTTTGCATTTGGAAGTGACCAGTGAAGCCAGGACCACTGGTGTTTATTCACAGGAGACATGGCACTGAGATGTCCTGCAAAACATGCCTTTCAGTAGGGATCCTCAATGAAATGATAAAGGTATTCGTGATATATGTACTGTCCATCTCGCCGGCTCTGGATGGGCAGTGACAGGGACAGTGAGAGTGCTTTCATTATCCACGGCGCACTCACGACTGAAGCTTGCTGCCGAACTAGACCGCGGCTTATCCCACTGGGGGCACATCTTCACATCGCTGGCGGATCTCCATGGAGACCAGGCCTGTCAACCAGCCGCGAGAAGTTCAGGGTGTACGTGTCCGAGGTAAAGCTCATGGGGCGGCTTGGGGAAATCACCTAAACGCATCGCCCATCGTCACACACTCAGACGTTCGGGCGAGACGAAGCGCACGGATACCTCATGCCCGGTTGATTCCTTCTACAATTCTACTTAATTTCATAGCTAACACTTTTGCCCAATCAGATTCTGCCCATGTGCACAGTTGTATGTTTTTCTGCAGCTGCTGCAGTGAGGCACTGTGTGAAAGCACCCTGCTGCCTGTCCCCGCTCACATCCTTCAAGGCAGAACTCCGTGTGCTCTGCTGCTCTTCTCGGCCGTCTCCTTGGCACGCTGTTCCGATAAGCTATGGGGCATTCAGATTTGCCCCAGCTGTGTCACAGGCCAGCACGTCTTGACGGACCACAGCCTGTCGTCTTCTTCCACTCTCTCATAGCCACTGCGCCTTGGTCCGGCCTCAGCTGCCCCATTGTGTCACGTGATAGGAAAATAAAATTGAATTGCTTTTCATCAGGGCTCACGGCCTCAGCCAAACACCATGTCCTGGATGATCCTTGAAGGAGTGAAGGAGAAAACCCAGGACGCTGTCACATATGTATAGCTCAATGCCAGTTTCCATGGTCCCTTGACCCTGGATCAATGGCTGAAAATATCATTACGCAGTGGAGGAAGCCATAGAAATGAACATGTCACTGAGGTTTTTGTGACTCTTACTCCAGTCAGAATTCAGATGCTGAGGGTTACATTCCCATCAATACAGCAACATTCAAAAAGCGTTTGTTATTCTCACGACGTTTGACCTTCTGTTCTCAAAGCCCTCGAAGTCTCCATCTCAAGACATAAGTGGAGTTGCATGCATTTTTAAATAACAACTTGTTTCTACACTAATTTTTAGGTCCGATGTAAGATTTCATTGGGCAAACATGTCAACAAAGTCAGGGACACTGTCAGCCTGTCATGTGATGACGGCAGGAAGCTTTTTAACAACCTTAAGATGGATACTTTAGGGAATGAAACAGCCTTGACACAAGGAGATGGAGATTCTTTTTGTGAATGGTAACGGGCAGTTCGTCACTGTTAGCTTGCAATAAAGAAATCTGAGGATCGGATGCTTAACAGGCTGTTTTTTTAATGGGTCAAGGCTGGGTGACACATTCAAAGATGCTGGATATTAGCAAGGGGTGGAAAACATGATCAAGAGCCTTGTTGATTAATTTCAGAGCTTGTTTCAGAAGTGTTTCTGACCATGCGTTGAGTGGCACGTTAGTAGTGATTCAGGTTGTGGTCGTCACACTGACTTCAGTGTTATGATGTCAGGACATGTCAGGAAGGTCCTCTGATCCTTGGACAGGGAGAAGCAAAGGCACCTGATTCCGCTGCAGCCACCACGGCAAGATGCCAGCAGGGTGTGAAGTGGAGGTTACCTTGGGATCTTTTATTTATTTTTTTTCTAAGCGTTTCTGCTGCGAGTGACTCATGTCAGACCTGAAGAGCTCGCCTTTAAAGCCCCTGTCCATCCCTCCCTCCTCAATGAGAGGCATCAGGCCACTTCTCGGGCTCCAGCGTCGACCCAGGTGCGTGCGCACGCCGCTGGGAATCTGCCACTCCTGCTGCCCTGGGACCCTCTGAAGCGGCACCGCGGGGCTCGTCCTTCATCACCATGACGTCCACCTTCTCTCTTCTCCTCATCTCCTGCGGATCTTCAGCAGTCATCACTGGGGTGAGTGGCTCCTGCTGCCGCTGACCTCCATCCTGGATCTCCTCACAAAAGGTTGGAAACCAGTAGTTGGGCAGTGGCTTCTCTTAGTTTATACGTTTACAGTCTTTGAACCTTTATTCACTTATTTAAATTCCACCAAGGTAAAACTCAGGCAAGCACTCACGAATTGCACAGTATTCACTACTGCATGGAACATTGAGTTACTGCCTGCCAGTAATCATTTCCTGAATAAAATTCATGCAGATTAATTCACAGAATAAATAATATATTTAGCAAACATTGTATTATCCGTAATAATGTGCTACTTAAAAGAAACAGTTAAAAATTATGAATAAAGCAAATAAATAAATAAATACTATTACATTGTAAAATGTTTCCAGTTATAATTTCAAAATTCATATTTAAATAACTAAAGTTGTGAATAATTTCTGTGCAATATATTAGGATTTTATTGTTTCAAAGCACTGTCATTTTCCAGATGTATTTTAACCCATTTTCACTAAAACATTTTGATTTCAATAATGATGATGATGATTATGTCACAATAGCAACCTAATGAATGTGTGTGTCTGTGTGTGCGTGTGCGTGTGTGTCTGTGTGTATGTGTGTGTGTGTGCGTGTGTGTCTGTGTGTGTGTGTGCGTGTGTGTCTGTGTGTATGTGTGCGTGTGTGTCTGTGTGTATGTGTGCGTGTGTGTCTGTGTGTATGTGTGCGTGTGTGTCTGTGTGCGCTCCACAGAGTTGCTCCAAAGAACCACAGTACACTATTGAAGTGTCTGTTCTACAGAAACCGATTGCAAGTCAACATGGAAAGATAATTAATATATATATATATATTAGATGCTTTTATTACCTCACGACCATAACCAAGATAAGCAGTTAGGAAATGGATGGATGGATGGATGGGTGGATGGATGGATGGATGGATGGATGGAAATTATTATTAATTATTATAAATCATCATTATTATATGCTTTCTATCTAAGGGAATTATTACAATCCTATGCTGATTATAATTGTTAATTTACATAAATTGTTCAGGACATTCTCTCTGCTTTAACCAAAGGTGGTCACAGTACAGATATAGCAATGAGTCTTACCTAGCTTACAGTCCCGCTTAATATACAGCATTTTCAGCTTCCTAAGGTCACACTCTGCACAAAGTGTTTAAGCACCAGTCTGACAGAATAGTGAGATATTTATATTTGGTGTTTGCCAAAGTGGTTTGACACACCAAAGATGACACATTACAACATCCAAGATAAACGTGCACATTACATACTTATGGTGAAGCATATCATTATTATCTATGGTGGATTTTCAGTGTCAGAACATACATGAATTTACACTAAATATAGCATTTTTATTGCACTGAAAAGACTGCATGCATGTAGTATATTTCAAATATGTAAAAATATTCAAATGAAAGGCTGTTCATCTTGGCTGTAACCGTGATTTGTACGCCGTACCGGGATAATTAACCCAACAAATTACGAGTGCGTGTCGTTACCATCAAAGGGTGGTGGGGGTCGGCCTTGGGTTTGTGCAGCAGACTGACACTGCAGAGCGCGTGACGATTGAGATTCCATGGACGCTTCCACTAATCCTGCTCAAAACCCTGATATTGTGCTGCCGATAGATGTGACCTCCGATTCCTTTATTCTAACATGATTATAAACATCACACTCAGAACGCTTGGAGATGAAAAATCAAACCAGCAGCTGAAATGCCTTGTGTTTGCAAACAGTCGATTATCATTCTCTTACTACACAGATGTAAAAATATGCTTTATGAAAGCGTAACCCATAGCTAACGGTAAGATGGCAGTACACTGGGCCCGGAGGACGCTGGAGCACTGCGTGTAAGAATGTGCTCACTGGCGCCCCCTTCCAGTCCCTTTCATGATGGCAGTCTCTCCACCCTTCCGTCCACAGGCCTGCGAGAGGGACTCCCAGTGTGGCGGCGCTATGTGCTGTGCCGTCAGCCTCTGGATACGAAACCTGCGCATGTGCACCCCCATGGGGCAGGAGGGGGAAGACTGCCACCCTCTGAGCCACAAAGTGAGTATAGCTACAGCCGTCTGGCCTCAGTCACACACATCCACACGTGGACACGATATTGACAGACGTATTGGGACACCTGGCCATTACACCCACAGGAACTTGATATGACATGACATGATATCATGACATAAAGTTTACCACCAATTCACCCTAAAAGCCCCCCACGAACAGTCACTACACTAAAAACTGAATAAACATGTTTGTTATTTAGATAGAGATGCTGAAGCAGTTGTTCTGCTAACCAGCTAGCTAGCTATGATCTTCAGACTCTACTCACTAGCTATTTGTTTTGTTTTTTTAAACATCTGAGGGGGGGGCAGGGGGCTCCAGGAAAAAAAAGCCCACTGTTAGCTGCTAACAAATTTAGCCAAACATCTATCATCTGTCATCCATCCATCTTCCAGCACATCGTAATTTAAGACACATTTGTTTATTCCGAGAGCATAAACAGCTCCGTGACTCATCTATATTTTGCGTCAGCTTTTCACTCTAACACCTGCGATGCTCACCTCCGTCAAGCTGGATGAGGGACAGAAGCTAGCAGAAGGTAGCCGTGTGTCACGGTGACACAACACACCAGCAGACTCTGCCCCCATGCGCTCTCCCCAGCTAGGCCTAACATGTGCGCTCGGCCTTCCCATAATAATCCCCGCCGTGTAAGGTCTCACCCTGCTACTTTTGTGGCCATCCTATGGGCTGCGTAGTCATGGTGATGCTCTCTTTCCCCCCGCGAACAGGTCCCCTTCTTCGGGAAGAGGCTTCACCACACATGTCCCTGCCTGCCGAACCTGGCGTGTGTCATGACAGATGACTCAAAATCCAAATGCCTGCCTTTATACAAAGTCCAAGACTACTATTTCTGAGAAGATGGAGCGCATAACCTCTGTTTCAGCTGTTTCTGTGATTCTGGTGTCAAAAAGTTTTAGGAATATATCTGTATTCTATTTATACAGTCAGATGAGTTGCCTTACTCTGATGAATGTAAATATCGTCTGTACAGCACTTCAGGTTCAGGTCCTGTTCTTTAAAAGTGCTATATAAAGAAACATAAACCTTAATGCTGAACACAATCGTAAATAAGACACAAGATACACTCTTTGGATTAAAGTCCTTTATAGCTTTAACTCGAATTTGCCTTGAAGATTTTTAGTCCTAGATAAATTGTTCCCAGATAAGAACAGGGGTGTGTGCTGTTCCGAATCCACCCTGTTAGCGATAATGCTGTGGTGATTTCAGTTATTTTGTTTAATTGGGAAGTCGGATACTTCCCCTTTTCAGTGTTTCATGTAAATAAAGAATCCTGCATCTCTGTAGCCATGTGCAGACATTTTAACTGTCCTTCAACTAATTGAGCATTTATGGCATTGCTTATTTTCATGTTATGAAAATATAAACTCCTGAATACCAGTTTTATGTGAAGCCTTAGAGCTCCATTAGTTCATTATCCCAGGAATGTGAAACTCACATGTTCATTTTATGCTGGTTTTTAGGGCCCAATTTGAACCTTCGTGCCATTTTTTCATCCCATTAAAATAAACCAGACGTGTCTTTGCTAAGTGACATTCTGGAAAACGGCCGTCATTACTTCAACTCAGCTTTAAATGCTGTCTTATCTTTCACGTCGGTTTTTCGGTGACATCGTCATTTTAGTAACACGCAGTTTTACTTATCCTGTTTCACTCGTTTCCCCGGCAAGGTCGTCTGGAAAAGCGATCATCTCATGGGCTCCCGGTGGGCTTGTAGTATCCTGTGTACGCAAACAGCCTCCGAGGTCCAGTGTAAAGCTACGAATGGACACACACAAATAGCACTGGCCTGGATGCTAAAAACACACCAGCTTTTATCTATTTGACTTCCCGATGGTCTCAGCAGACTCACTAGTGGTGGTGGGAGAGATGGACATACAGCGTAAAAATACATTTCCTAGGTTTAAATTTATCTATTTATTTATATATCTATTTTTATATGAGCACAGTCACTGCTGTTACTTCTGAAGCTCATTTGCTAATAATGGCCCCCCCACCCTTGCCTTCCGACAGTAAAACCCTGTCTCTTTGGGAGCTGGACTGTACTCTTGCCCTCTGCAATCCCATAATGCCGCACTCTGTGTGTCGTACCCGCTGTGCTTGACAGTTAATCTGCGTCTGACGCCGCGATGATGCCCTAATTACTGGCATGTCCCAGGTGCCTGTGTGAGTCTTCAAAGTCACTGAGAGCAGCCATCCTAAAAACACCCCCTGGGGAGGCACCCCTTCCTGAGTGAGATGATGATGTCAGACTGCTGCTGCAGCAGGGGTCCCCCAGTCACATGACGGCGCTGCTAGCCAATTGAACGGCTCTGATCTAACCGTGCTTTACCCTGACCAGCTAAAGTCATGTTATTCTGAACATGAGCAATCAACCTTGAAGGTGTTCAAATGAAACAAACAAAGTTACATTACAGCGCATCCACTCTATATGCACACTCAGTACTTTCCCAGAAGTAACGCTGTATTGCTATTAGATAAGACACTAAAAATGAGAAGGTCTCTGCTGAAGTCGGCTTCCAGGCCCCCGAACGAAGCCGGAGGGGTAAAAATGGAAACAGCAGCTCGTGGCCATACCTAACGCCCGCGTGGTGCTTGGCACATGCTGGAGGACAGACAAGAACTGGGCACGTTCCTCACGTGCTGCCTGGCGTGCCAGCCGACCCGGGCACTTGGCACGGGAGAGCCACACGCACGCCTGCCACCTGATCCCAGAGGGTGACGTCAACGCTTTCTGAGCGAACCGAGAGGTCCGTGGGCCCTGAGCGCCGCGTCCCAGTGGCCCCGTACGGACCGGCCTCATCACTCTGAGCCGTCCACACAGCTGGACCTCCGTGTCCTATCAGCATCTCGCTTTAATTCATGTTCACAGACGTGACAGAGGTCGGGGTCAGCTCACGCACTGGGAGTGCTGTGTTAACAGAAGGCAAAAAAATGACTTTGGAAAATGAAGGGAATAAAAGGAAGGCTGGGGCACATCTTTACTACATCATCTGTCCATTCGTCCTTCCATTTCCCACAGGTACGTTTCCAGTACAGGGACTGGTGAGACAGAAGCCTTTCCCACGAAACACACAACCGAGGCACCTCACATGGGATGCCAGTCAAATTATTTAACATCTTTATAAATGTGTCCTTATGTAAATCTATCTATTCTGAGTGTGTCACAGGTTAGTGCAAACGTCTGAAGGGGAGCGACCCCATCAAAGAAGCATTCCCACTGGCTATGCGGATCATCAGAGGTCATGCTGATTCCCTGATACATGCTGAGGGGAGCTGGAGGCGGAGTTAGCAAATATCTGAGCCATGTGGAAACACTGTGTCGGCTAACGGACTGCCAGAAGGCCACGGCTCATGTGGGAGTTTCATCTTTATACAGCCATTAATAGCTACTCCACAAACCAACCCCCCCCAACACACACACACACACACCCATCCCAGGGAGCGATCTGGATGGCTGACAGGCTCGTATGGGCACTACAGCCCAACACGAGGAGAGACAGAACTAATAAGCTCATTCTGCACTGCAATCAAATCGCTACAGGCCTGTGTTTCTTATAACCAGGAGCGCCTCATTCTCCCCAGTCCACAGACTTACCGATTTCATTATTATGCTTAATACTGAATGCCTGAAAGTGGCTGTTCTCCCAAATGTTTCATAGTTCCAGAGAGTATTTAACCTTTAACCACTGAGCGCACTATCAAAGGCTGAAAATGGTTTTTTAAAAACATAATTATAATGTTCTAATACCTAAAACACACTTCTACCCCATGTGTCACATCACACAGATGTGTGAAGAGCAGGCAGTACTTGGATGGCCTTTAAAATTACAGTTTAAAGTAGCAGACAGAGTACTGAAAGAGAGGGGGTAAGTACCGCCTTGGATGTTATGTAAACATGTTGGGGGGGGGGGGGACACGAAAGCTGTTCGATTATCGCCAACCTCCTCTGGGATAGCTTGTTAAATTAAAAACCAGATTAAACTCACTCTGAACCGACATCTTCCCTCCGCTCAACAATTTTCCTTCATCCCCAATAAGCTCAGATGTCACTCCACAAATTCTATGGCTGTGCAGTGGCCATCATAACAGAAACGGATCACAGCAAAATTCACAACAGACACCGGGGTAATTGGCAATGCAAACATGTGTCTTCAAGGCATACAAAATGTAATCCTGAATAAAAGAACTTAGTGCAGTTTTCTTGGTGAGCTGTGGCACTCGAACGGTCATCCAATCACTTGTAATGATTTATTTTGAGTACAAACAATGCAAACATTTTTAACAGCACACAGGCCATTATAATATGAACTGTTTCATCATCAAAATTTTACATTATTTCAAGAGAATATGGAAAGAAACGTTTCAAATACATTTCCAAAATCCATACATTATATTAACTGCCACAAAAAGTGAAATTTGATTTGACTGTAAGTCTATCCACACAAAGGGCCGGACTTGTCGAACATTAGCCAAACATTACTGTTTCCCCCACCAGCTGAGAAAAAATAATAACGAAAGCAAAGATTTAGTCTTTAGCATTTACACCAACAATAAAACCCTACACGGAAATGACGCACACTTTTGAGAGAAACCTTCCTTATGAGATTATCATTTGGTGCTGTCACTGGGTAAATATATATATGCATACAAATCTTTACAAAAACATGGTTTTCCCACGCCAGGAGCTATTGCAAGGAATTCTGTCAGAGCAATAACCCAGAGAAATTCAAATTCAGTGACGCCCAGTCAGGAAGAAACTTCACCATGACTAACATTATTAAATAAATACAAAAAGAATGTATACTGGTCCGTCCATTACTTTCATACCGCGAAATAAAACCTCTAAAAGTGCTCCAGTAAAAAGTCAAGGGAGGCACCGCAGAAGGTCTAGATGACACAATAGGGCTCCATGGGGGTCTGTGTGCTGAGACAGCATGGGAACCGCGTTCTGAAGCGCACCCTCAGTTCCTTGTTAAATATAAAGCATATAATAGGATTCACTGCCGCCTGCGCAAACGTCATCCAGACCGCCGCAGTCAGGTAGACCTGCGGTATGGTGCCGGCTTTCACAAACACTCGGAGATAACACGCCACGATGTAGGGAGCCCACAGCAGGAAAAAGCCCAGTGTGATCATGTAGAACATCTTGCCGATCCTCTTTTCCATTTTGAATTCATCCAAGACGAGAAGCCGCTTGCTGGGATTGTGCGACGCCTGCCTGATGCCCACCAGGGTCGGCGGCGTGGGCCCACGTCCGAACCCCGCGATCCAGTTGGCCGCCGCTTGCCCGGTGGCACCGGGTCCATGGAAAGTCCAGTTCTGGCTTATGGCCGGGACCAGCTGGGCAGGCTTCATCTTGCGGTGGTCGTAAACGAAAAACAGCATCTTCACGTAAACAACGTGCGTGGTACCCACGATGACCACCAGCATTAACATGAAGCCCAGCGTGTCGTTCGCCTTCACGTATCGGTGCTCGAAGATGCACTGCTCTTCCTCCCTTATGAATTTGTAGGTGCCCACGTCGAAGACTGGGGGGAACGCCATTGCAACAGAGAGGGTCCAAACCATGCAGATGACGGCCACGCAAGTCCAAAATGTCATCCGTTTAGAATAAAACCTGTGGTGTGCGATTGCCATATATCGAGTCACACTGATGCAGAAAAGCATAAAAGCTACGTGGAAACAGAAGAGCACCGCGATGAAGGCGATGATCTTGCAGCTTATTACGCTGTAGGTCCAGCTGGAGCCGCTGCTGATGGATACCATCACGAACGGGAAGCACACGACAGACCTCACTATATCTGCCAAGCACAAATCTAGAAGGAAGTAATAGGGAGCTCTGTGCAGACTTCTGTCTTTCAGCACCAGGAAGGATATCAGTAGGTTCCCCGCCAGGCTCATGCAGATGATCAGCCCCAGAGAAGCGAGCTTCACCGCGGACGCGGTAGCGGCGTAATTCTGCAGCGATGGGGCGCTTTGCCCCGGCTCGCTTGTATTCGCCATCTGTGCATCCACAACACGGCCAGCCTCACTCGGTCTCCATCAAGCCACATCAAGCAGACCCGCTTTTCCTTCGCCGATCACGTATCAGATGACATGGAAAATAAACTGCCAGTGTCTGACCGATCGGCGGTCGCATGCTTCTCCTGTTAACGCACGCGGGCTGTCATTTATATTTAAATGAAAATTAAATTAGAGCTTCACGAGAGAAGAAATGAAACGCGATATTATTCGTAATCCTGGGCACCACTGCGGTGCACCTGACATTCATCTTACGAGGCGGTGAAGTCACCGTTTCTTTTCATTCTTCAGAATTGTCATATCTGCCTCCATATTCTCCCTGCATCTACAAAAGACCAGAGGCGCGACGAGGCAGGGTATCCCCAATATGCAAAAGACTCGCTAAAAAGAAAGACAATGCCGACATGTCCATTCCACTGGCGGCGTGCTCCTTTGTATTGGCAGAGAAAACATCTATAATTAGTCAGGCAATTATCAACATCCAAACTACTTATCTATGTTACAAGCAGGCATGTGTCCGAGCATCCAGAAACCATGACGCTACATCATATACCCGCAGCCTTTCTGTTTTTTTGCAGTTGTCAGAAAATGAACTTCCGGTAACAAGCCGAAGCCCTGCGACGTTAAATCCGATGGTGAATCCGATATGCGGAATCCCTCAGCTAAAGCTGTGAAAACGCATCGGCTCATCGACCGTAACCATTACAACTCCTCCTCCCGATAATCATTAAATAACAAACGAAACATGTATACGCTACCGCTGAATTAAACGATGCATGACTTGGTCCCCATTGAAAAAAAACATCATTGGTTTGTACACTTATTTCATGTGGAACACCCAGCGCGGACGGCCACGATCGCTCGCCCGTCACTATTTAAAGGCACATAGCTGAATTATTTCAACCATCGGGTTATTTACACGCCCTCGCTGTCACTCAACCCAATCCAGGTCAGATTTATTACAATAATATTTCTAAAAAGTTATGATTTGTTGATTGCTTTTTTTTTGCGAATAATCATACATTTAAAGTGATACGTAGATGTTTTAACTCTCAGTCGCCAAAGTTGTAGTTTTGTCCGATAATGTTTTTACTGGTAGCTATTTTTCTGACTATACATATGGCCAGAAGTGTCAGGTCTTCTCTACACATGTGGTATTGCTCAGCAACTGCCATCATTCCTTACCGTTACAATATTTGTAAGTATTGTTATCAAACACCGATATCGGCAGCACGGTAGGTAGCAGGGGGTATAAATAGGCCTAACACGCCCGTCATTCTGTAATTTGTACGTGCCTGTGTTATGCGGGTTTCCTCTGGCGTACTGCCATTTCTTCCCACTGTCCAAATATAAGTAGGCCTACCTTTACGTTGCCCATAGTGTGTGTACCTTATGATGGACTGGCGTCCCGTCCAGGGCGCCCCCTACCTTGTCCGGATGGGATAGGCGGCAGACGCACCCGATCCTTCACTGGATATGCCGGAGAAAGATTAACTGATAGCATCTGGTCTGTCACATTTTATATGGCAATGGAAAAAACCTGTAAAACTGCAATACGTAGACAAGGTGGCAAACCTCGATTCTGACGGAACCTTTTGCTTAATATTTAATATTTTTTTGCAATCAGGACTGACTGTCGGGATAGGCTCCAAGGCTACAGTCAGCAGGGCGCGATACCAGCTATGGGTACATTATAAAGAAGGCAGGAGACGTTACCGTTTGGTACAAAAGGCTTAGGCCTATCTTAATTTCAGGTTAGCCCATAACCTCAGCAACAACATTGATATGTTTTTTGTGCTAATACAATCGGCCCCTGAAGGGAATCACCAAACACGGGGATTATGCATACCACCTAGGCGCGTGCCTGAGCGAGGCCCTTAACCCCCAGCTCCCTGGGTGCCGCTATGGGTGACTGCCCTTCACAGTCAGCTGGGGGCTAATGAGAGTTTCCCCATGGGAATCTACTATTATTATTATTATTGTTACCTCAGTGCCAGGGGCTTACGCTGGGGAGCACCTAAAAATGAATACACAATGGCCCTGAAATAACCTAAGAGCAGCTCTGCCCCCGCTTGCAGTAGGCCATACATGGGTTGCCCCTTCCAGTGACCACGTCACAGTAAACACCGTAACTGAATTATTAGATGGGAAATGTTTCTGGTAACTTCTGTGACATGAGTGGATCTGATCAGGCGCCCATACTGGAACTAACAGCTCCTGTGGTTATGTTGTGCTTTAATTTGAATTATGAAAAACAGTCTGTTGAAATCGGAACATAAACACAAACTTAGCAAATCTGCTGCTTGTAGTTTTGCTCCTGTTTACGGACCGGGGATTGTTAGCCAGAAAACAATGTAAGGACCGAAACCCTTCGGCTTTGAACACATCGTCATGTCTCCTACGTTAGATTAATTTAAAGTAACAGGTTAAATAGCTTACTGAAACGAATTGTTTTATTGTATTATCTCATGCACACAAAAATGTTTCCATGTAAACCCTTTCACTTACACTGTAACAATGAAGTTGTTACAGGATGACTTTGTTTCCGTAAGTGATGCATCGTATTCTCGCTTTAAGCTCCGTGCCCGTATGCGGCTCCGCGGTCTGACGCACTTCTGCGCTGCGGCCGAGCGGCGCTGACGCGGCAGCTTGACGGCCAGTCGCTGCGGTCCTTTCGTCCGGACGTCGGTGCGCCCATCTCACGGTGAAGATTGGGAGAGAGCCGGAGACATGGCGCTGTCTTCAGCCCCCGACCTGCAGACAGACGAGCGGGAGAACAGCATCCACATCGACGAGGAGGAGCTTGAAAGCGCGACGAGTCGCGACAAAGACGGCCCGGCGCTGCCACTGCACTCCGCCTGGACTTTCTGGCTCGATAGGTGCGGGAGCGGCTCCGGCCCCGACCCCGGTCCTGCGCCGCCCCAGCCGCCGGATCTCAGCGCTCTAGATCGGGTGGCTTTTGGCGAGACGAGCCGCGGCTGCCGATACAGCCGGCGGTTACTGCCCACGGCCTAGCCGGCTGACTTACCCACCTAACTGCGCTGAGCCAGTTAACCAGCGCGATTTCACCGTTCAGCGTTAACTAACCAGCAGCCGCGGTGTCCCGTGTGAGCTTTTTGGTTACAGTAGCCTATTTGTAACATTAATTTTCAGGGAGTCAGCTTGCTGGTTAACGCTGTTCTTAAGTAATACGGTAAAAGTCAGCTCGCTGCAGGACTAGTTATAGCTGGCCAACTAGCCTAGGTGTACTAGATGCACTGGTGTCAGTGTCGCTTCCCAAGGGACTGACTGCATGAGCGCATTAATTTCGCTGCTGGTTTTAGTGACCAGTGCAGCTCAGTATTTATGTGGTTTTTAAACACCTGCGCGTTAAAGGTATTTTTGCAGGAAATGAGTTTCGCCAAGACGGCTGGCACGTCCGCATGATCCCGGGCTGCTCTTACATAAGCGGGTCCCGCGGTTTGTCACACTATGGCAGCGCTCTGCTGTAAATGGGGGGGATGATGATGCGAAATGTGGACACTCAGCGCCGCTTTTTGCTGAATCCGGACTCTCTCCTGTCTCGGAGTCCGTCTGCGCAGCTTGAGCTGAAGTTTTTTTTAACTCTAGTTATTTCACTCGGCTGTTCCCGTCTGACATGTTTCTTTGCAGTTGAACACTTAATTGCTGTGTATCGTAGAATCTGAATCGGTCTTTTGAATGGTAATGTTCGTATTTAATCATGTTTTTCGTTAGCCTCGGGTCTTATTTAGTGTAAAATTCTGCCCTCTGCTGTTCTTATTTCAATTAAGGTAATTTCATATCGTCGCGTTATTTTCCTAGCCCAGACTGTTGTAGAAACTGAAAGTGTACGAATTGCGGTATATGGGTGGGATCCGGCAAAGGCAGGGGACCTTCGTCAGGCCCGGCCTGTCACCTGCTTGGCCTTTAAAAATAGAAGCCGCCCTCTCACTGTCTAAAAGAAACAGGGCCGTCTTTCCTATTTGTGTCTGTCCCCAAAGGTCATTGCCGGGAACGACAGCAGCCGAATGCGAGTCCAATTTGAAGAAGATCTACACTGTTCAGACTGTACAGGTAGGACACCACAGGAATTCAGGATTTCGCTAATTTCAAAGCAGAAGCCCCCAATCACGGCTTCAGTCTCCCTCTCTGCTTCTGTTTACTGTTTGCCCTCAGTGTTTTTGGAGTGTTTACAACAATATTCCTTCCGTGACGCGGCTTCCATTGAGATGCAGCTATCACCTGATGCGTGGAGAGAGGAGGCCTCTCTGGTGAGTCTGCTGAACCAGCTCCTCCTGTATAACTACCTGTGGCTAAGTTACTCAATAAATGTGTTTCAAACATGAGCACTAAATGGAGGTACATTATTGTGGGTCTGTGGCTGGTCTGTTTCCTGAAGACTCTCAGGCTGTCGTTCAGCACTAAGTAGCTGTAAGACTTGCTCAGGGCAAGACACCGAACTGAATCCGGTGATTTAGGGAGGGGAGGAAGGAACTGGGAGTTTATTGGGAGAAAGGGTGTGGAGGCGACCATGACTGAAGGGTCAGAATCGGGCCTGTGTGCATTTTCTGGGCCAGAGGAAAACCAGAGTCAGTGCTATCAGGCAAAGGAGTGAAGCCAATGAATGTGCTTATAATCTGCCTCTGCCTTACCCTGGGGGGTCTGTGCCTCCCCCCTCCCCCGCCTCATGCCTGTCGTGTATATACAACAATAATTATTTTTTAAAAACCCATTTCACATTGTGGCCTGAAGCGATGCTTAATCTCTGAGGCATTCTCTCTTTCTGGGTGAGAAATACCCAGAAATCTGCTGCAAGAGTTTTAGGATGTTTGCTATGGGATGCAGTTGACGTCTCAAGCTGTGGTAAATTCTCTGATGTGTTTGGAAAATGGCCTGTTATTCACTTTTAAAAATACAAAAATTACTAATCTAAATACCCGTCAGACACCACAGTCGACTAATTCAGGAGCCTTTTCTTTCTGAAATCATTCTGCTAAGTCCCGTGAGGTTATCAGTCACATTATCTGAAGTACAGCTGGCTTCTACGTGAGTGATAGTGAGCCCCAGACAGTGATGCTGACTCAGCTTTCACAGCACTGGGCTTTTGCACGTTAATAGAGCTGATTGACTGTGCCGATGTTGAGCACCACTAGGTCATAGGCTCTTAATCTTGAAACGGCAGCCCTTAGATTACTTAATCATTTACTTAAAAATGCTACTTTCCTCAGTACAGTAGTGATAATAAATGGTCCACATGGGGAAATGCTCTTCACACCTCCCCTGACTTACTCTCCATAGGTGAGAGCGCAGCCACCCATAGCGGCACCCAGGGAGTTGGGGGTTAAGGGCCTCGCTCGCAGGTGTGCCGAGGCTGGGCTCGAACCAGCGACCTTCCGATTACAGACACTAGCCCACTGAGCCACACACTGCCATGTAGTCCCAGCATGCTGTGGGTGCATCAGTCCAACTTCCACCCTTTTAGGCTGGTCAGGGTGGGGGAGACTTTAACTGTGGACTGTATTAGAGTGGCAGGTGGGCTCCTGAACTGTAAGGTGCTACAGCTCTGCCAGTGGGGATCTTTAAAAAAATAAAAAATCCATCCTCTGCTCATTTTAGGATGTTGTTAGTAATGGAACTAGACGGGGATAAAGAAATGTAGTAAAAAATCTCCATGATGATTTATGATCATTAGAGTAGAGCAGGGATTTGAGAAAAGCTTTCAAATCTTCAGCGTTATGATTTTAAAGGTTTGCTGCATATAGGGAAATATCTGTCAAGGAGACATTAAAATATGAGACCAGAGTGGATTATTATTATTTTTTTGTTTCAGGGAAGAAGAGAGCAATGCGAAAGGAGGAGTGTGGAGGATAAAAGTGCCAAAAGAGAGCACGGTATGCCAGGAGCGGGCCACGCTGGGCTTCGGGCCGGGCGTCCAGTGCGCCGCGCTAGGCTTCGGGCCGGGCGTCCTACTGGGCTTCGGGCCGGGCGTCCAGTGCGCCGCGCCGGGCTTCGGGCTGGGCGTCCTACTGGGCTTCAGGCCGGGGCGTCCAGTGTGCCGTGCTGGGCTTCGGGCTGAGCGTCCTACTGGGCTTCAGGCCGGGCGTCCAGTGCGCCGCGCTGGGCTTCGGGCCGGGCGTCCAGTGCGCCGCGCTAGGCTTCGGGCCGGGCGTCCTACTGGGCTTCGGGCCGGGCGTCCAGTGCGCTGCGCTGGGCTTCGGGCTGGGCGTCCTACTGGGCTTCAGGCCGGGGCGTCCAGTGCGCCATGCTGGGCTTCGGGCTGAGCGTCCTACTGGGCTTCAGGCCGGGCGTCCAGTGCGCCGCGCTGGGCTTCGGGCCGGGCGTCCAGTGCACCGTGCTGGGCTTCGGGCTGAGCGTCCTACTGGGCTTCAGGCCGGGCGTCCAGTGCGCCGCGCTGGGCTTCGGGCCGGGCGTCCAGTGCACCGTGCTGGGCTTCGGGCTGAGCGTCCTACTGGGCTTCAGGCCGGGCGTCCAGTGCGCCGCGCTGGGCTTCGGGCCGGGCATCCAGTGCGCCACGCTGGGCTTCGGGCTGGGCGTCCAGTGCGCCGCGCTAGGCTTCGGGCCGGGCGTCCTACTGGGCTTCGGGCCGGGCATCCAGTGCGTCGGGCTGGGCGTCCTACTGGGCTTCAGGCCGGGCGTCCAGTGCGCCGTGCTGGGCTTCGGGCTGGGCGTCCTACTGGGCATCCAGTGCGCCACCCTGGGCTTTGGGCTGGGCATCCAGTGCGCCGCTTTGGGCCGGGCGTCCAGTGCGCCGCGCTGGGCTTCGGGCTGGGCGTCCTACTGGGCATCCAGTGCACCACGCTGGGCTTTGGGCTGGGCATCCAGTGCACCACTTTGGGCCGGGCATCCAGTGTGCCGCGCTGGGCTTTGCGCCGGGCATCCAATGTGTCGCGCTGGGGTTCGGGCCGGGCGTCCGCCTGGGTTTTGGGCCGGGCATCCAGTGTGCCGCGCTGGGGTTCGGGCCGGGCGTCCGCCTGGGCTTTGGGCTGGGCATCCAGTGGACTGTGCTGGGCTTTGGGCCGGGCATCCGGCACACTGCCTTACACTGTCTGGTTCTGCTTTTTCTCATTGCTTTGTCTGTCAGTCGGTGGTTTGGAAGGAGCTGTTACTCGCCACCATCGGGGAGCAGTTTGCAGATCACTGCGCAGCAGGTGAGTCCCTGAATGGGCATTCCGGTCCCTGTCTGGGATTTTAAACGTAGCCCTTCCTCTTTTAGCACAGACTTTTGGAGTCGCCCAAGTGGCCCAGTCAGGTAAAGTGACTAATGGGAGTTTCACTTACTCAAAAATGTTCTGAGGGCAGACGAAACAATGATAGGTCCAGGAAGATAACCAATCCGATTGTAGAGGAGGTGAGTCCAAGCAACTAGAGGAGGCAGGACCAACCAATAAGATGTCTTGGTCCCACCTGCTCTAGTTGCTTGCTTCTTTCTGATTCTAATCCACTATGGAAGGTAAAGAGCACTGCAAGGGTGTGACAGTGTGAAATTTCCATACCACTGCGATCAGAATGCATTTAGAATTTAACAAGATACAAAACGACAATTGATTTAAATGTCATGTCATTTATCGAATGAGATAATTATGTGCCTTGGGACAGTTCCAAACAGACATGGCATGTAATGGAGAAAATGGGTGTGTTTAAGCAAGCTTAGTCCTCCAAGTAAAACTGGTGACTAGTCAGCTAGCTATGCTGTGTGTATTTTATAGCTGCCCGTTCAGTCAAAATGTCTGTGTACAAGATTCAAGAGATTTATTTGTCACATACAGTACAACATGCCATGAAATGTATCTCTGAGTCGCCCTTATTTGGCTGTGCAGAAATAGAAGAAAAAAGGGAAGAAGTAAAATAGGAGTAAAAAAGAAAATTACAATATATAAATAAAATTTATCAAATCAAGTATATAATCTAAATATACAATCCAAATATACAATCTAAAATATAGTGCAGTGGCATGGTGATGTACAGACTAAAGTTATACTGCACATGTTCACTTTACTGCACGAATATGTACATTCCAGTACAAACATACGTAGTGTACAGAAGGACCACAATTAGTTTGAGTTGAGAAGCCTTATGGCCTGGGCATTAGGCAACGGAACCGTCTGCCTGAGTTCAGCCTGCGGAACAGACAGTTTGCGGGGTGTAAGGAGTCCTTAATTATCTTCGTCATACTAGTCGGAGCACACAGAAAGGCGTCTGGCAGCGGCCGCGCCACCTTGGATCCCAGGGGTCTTAAGAAGTAGTCAAGCTTCAATGCTAGTGATTAATGTTCAATCTTTTGACTTCACTGTATCGTTACTAGGGCTGCATGATGTCACATTGTGATGTAATCATGGTTATAGGCCGCATGCTCAGTAATAACCGGGGCTAAAAGTGTCCGGACGCCGGCTTTTCGGTGCTATATGGGACAGCTCAGCAGCCGGAATGTTTTTGAAAGAAGATCTTGTAGGTAAACGAGGTAAAATGACGTCGTTTGAATGCTTGGTTTTGCAGTTTAAAGTCCAGCACGTTTTTTAAACACAGGGATAAGATGAATTTATACGGATTACTAATTTTTGGGTGTCATGCCTCTTATTAATGTTTTAGGTGTACCACTAATCTGATTATCAAATTGTGGGTATGAATAAACACTGATATAGTACCAAAAAGCCAGCGTCCATGCAGATGCTTACAGCCATCATCTAAAGGCGTGGTGATTATTGCGCCTGTGCCACATTGTTGCGACGTGATGTCATGCAGCCCTAACCGTTACCTGATATTCGATTTTATTTTTCTGACCGGTCAGGCTGTGACGGTCTGTGTAGCTGGAGTAAGACATGAGTGCACGTGTCCCCTGGTGTTTCAGAAGACGAGATAGTTGGCGTCAGTGTCAGTGTACGCGAGCGAGACGACGTCGTCCAGGTCTGGAACGGAAATGCCTCGTTTGCCGGTGAAGCAAACGTTTTAGGGAAGATCTACGAGCTCCTCCCACACATGGCCTTCAAAGCAGTGTTTTATAAACGTGAGTATAGTGCCATTAAGCGTTCATTAAATGGTTTATTTCAGGAATGTTTAATTAAATGTAGAACTGTATGAGTTTGACTGAAGTTTACTGATTCAGTCAGTGAAACAATGACAAGAATGAAATGATCGGTGGGGGTACAGTACGGTGCATGTTTACATGATGCTGTATAATCATGATATTATGTCTGTCAAAGTTTGTTAGGCCAGTTCAAAACCCCTCCTTAAGTCTCTTTTGCAGGAACCGTCCAGTACACCTGTATTTTTTTATTTGACCAGTATCATACTTGTTTGGATAATCACTACCTCACCGAGTAATTTAACTAACTTAAATTAACTGAGCTGGTGGTGAGATTCTATACATACAAGTAATGGCTGGGCTATCCCCAAGGAGAGGTTAGGGGACTGGAGCAGTGTTCATCTACCCATCCAGCAAGACATCAGTTACTTTCTGCAAAACAGAAGAAATTACTCTTAGGTTTTTGTTTTGCAGTTAATTTGCACATGTTCTGAGGTTAAGTTGTGTTTTTTTCCGAGCAATTATACACTTACTAACCAGATAAATAGTTTTACACATTTTTACCTGCCTAATATTTTCGCACAGTACTGTGTGCATGAATATACACAGATGAGCCAAAACAATTTGGCTACCCCCACATGAAGTGAATGATGTTGACTATCTAGTAAAAACAATGTGTCTGGGATATATTAGGGCGCTTTCCACCACACTTATGTTGTGGTATTTTTAGTATTTTGCCTTTTCCATTGATTTCCACTTGAGTACCAGTACCAAAAGTTTGAGTACCCAGTATGCCATAGCAGCTGGGGTACTTTTTTGTACTTTGGTACTCTGGGGTGGGACTTGTAAACACTTTCTGTCTACTGATTATGCAAATAGCCTGCTTCCGAAACACAAAACAGCCGGCATCCTGAAAATAGTTACAGACTTCACGTGGGGGTGGTCAAATTGTTTTGGCTTATCGATGTTTGTTTTTTAGTATATACAGTGCAAACAGTCTTGGGAATTCTTTAAAAATGTATTGGTTTCATAGTAAGTCCACCGAAAAGCAATGTTTAACATACCTGCTCTTATCTTCCACACAGACATTTTAAGTGGCAAACTTTTTTTTGACTGACTCATTCAGTTCTGTTCTATACATTTTGCTGTTAATTGCACATGTAGTCATTGGCTCCCAAAGGAATACTATACACAAATGTTTGGTGTTTATTGCAAAGGTGTTACTAGTTAAAAAGCACCCAGTGAGAATGCTTGTCACTGATCTTTTTAATTGGAATAACGTTTAGAACTATAATTCGGGTTTCAAATTTATTACTACTTGAAATTAATGTTTTACCTAAAACTGCTGATTGTCTCTAATGTGATATATTTTTTGCAAACAGATGAATAAAGTAATATTCTTTGTTGTAAAACCAATAAATTTGCAGTATTTTTTACTGAATTAGGCAGGCGTCCCAAGGCTGTGAGCTCTGTATGTATGTAGATACACGTGCACGCTCGGGATTCCAGCAACAATAATAATATGCATTCTGATGTACAGCATGGTCTGGCTTTACTGTGACTGCTTTCTTACAGCTGAGTGTGCTAAGACTGTCCCTGTCCCTGTCCCTCTCCCAGCTCATGAAGAGCATCATGCCTTTGAAGGAGGTCGCTTGAGGCATTAGCGTCCCACGCCTGGTTCACCGTCTTCCCGATTCCTGTCCCAGGAGTTGAATGCATATCCTATTTGAATAGCAGTCTGTTTGGTTAATTTTAACAGAAATCACTTTACGGCTAGAGGAACATTACAGATGACTATATTTTTATAGATCCTAATTACGAAGATTTCCAAAAATGCCTTTTGTCTCCCTTTGTGTGTTTTTTGCACGGCAGAGAATTCAGGCACAGATGCGTAATGTGTTTGTTTTTCGCTCTGTCTTTGGGTTTCATCCGTTTTCATGTCACATGTTGGATTGGGTGAAAGCTGTGATGAGGTCTTGGGTGCTCTACCCACACGGGCAGGCGACCTTGGGGGGTGTCCCCTGCCTGAGTCCGGTCCAGTAAGACTAGGTGCCATCGTTTCCTCCGTGCGGCATGGTGTCATTTTCCAGGCTGGCAGTGACACTGCCATCACCATTAGCAACATCTGCAGATAATACACAGGACCACCTAATTTAAAAAAGAAAAATGTATGTACTACATAGATTACGTATGACAGTAGGCTGCAGAAGGGACGTCGGACTGTGAATTAAGCTTTTGCAGCTGTTATATATCCAGTGTAAGGAAATCCAACCTGTACATTGTAATACACTGACCTGGACTCTAACTGTATGCAGCACATTATGTATTTATTTTAAAATCACAGCACTTTTTGTAACAAAACCAGCAACCTTTTTATAAAAACTTGAACGCAACAGTGTCACATTGTTCATGTTTAAAAAGTACTAAATTTTAAAAAAATTGTTGAATACTATATATCTTGGAATGTATGCTGAGGGATTTGGATTTAGATGGACATTAGCCATAGTATGAAGTGTTTTCCAACCCGGTCCTCGGGGACCCGCGGACAGTCCACGTTTTTACTCCCTTCCAACTCCAGGAAAAATGCGGAGTTCCTGGCAGGGAGTTGGGAGGGAGCAAAAATGCGGAGTTCCTGGCAGGGAGTTGGGAGGGAGCAAAAATGCGGAGTTCCTGGCAGGGAGTTGGGAGGGAGCAAAAATGCGGAGTTCCTGGGAGGGAGTTGGGAGGGAGCAAAAATGCGGAGTTCCTGGCAGGGAGTTGAGAGGGAGCAAAAATGCGGACTGTCTTGGGGGAGTCCCTGAGGACCGAATTGGGAAACACTGCTATAAATGATTTATCTTGCGTCAGTAGCTCTTTACTCAGACCCAGGGGGGATGAGAACTGAATTGTGAAGCCCCGCCTGATGGGGACTCTGGTTATCTTTCCATATTTCAATGACTTGAGTGGCCCTTTTCATCCTAACGTTTGCTTCCTGTCATAGGATAGTCATTATCATGCTGCCAACCTCCATTTAATCTCTGACTTTCCTTAGATGGTTATGTATATTTTAATGTGTTTAAAATAAAAATAAAAACGTATCAAAGTCTAGGGATAGATGGTGTAATACTATGTACCAAAGAGACCATGATTTCCTTTCCCTTTTTCCTTGGCGGGGATCACTGCCAGTGAGCTCACATCACCTGCCAAACTCTTTTCAAGGCCGTTAATGTATCGCAGCAAGAGCATGCTCTTCATTTCTGGCAAGCACACTGTTTTTTTACGTGTTCCTCTGTTGCGACTTAATTTGCTGTATTTTTAGAAGTGATCTTTAAAAAAAAAAACAAAAAAAAGAGAATGAAATGTGAAGCCTTTAGATGTGATGCCGAATGCAGGTCAGTGGGCAGCTTTCGCCGTTTCACTCAGGTTAATAAATGTAAAAACACAGCGGGATGTTTCCCAGTTAGACGCCGTTCGCTGGAGGCCGATTCCGCCGCTGCCCGTCATTTCCCCCGAAGCTCGTGTCGCCGCTCGCGGAGGCGTTGCTACTCCGTTTCTTCTGGAGCGGTGCTTTGTTTTATCCCAGACTTGTATATATATAGCCTACCTTTGCTGTATGTTTAACTCCTGTACCCAGTTCTAGTGAAAATTTGGTCTTATAGGTTTTGAAATTGTCAAATAAAGTCTACGAACTGATCATACTGTTGCTTCTGATTGATTAACGTCCTGGCGACCCTGCAGAATGACACCACAAACGGTATTAGACCCCATAATTGTTTTACGATGGTGCCACCTAGTGGCCAGATTCTATACTGTTCAGTGAAATCGCTCGACCGAAGCTGAATATTTTTTCCTCTTCCTTACGTGTGAACAGTAGTGAGGCGAGTTTGGTGTAAGCTTACAGCGTCTCACTGAATTCGTTTTGCATTCACTTTTAAATAATAATTTGAAAATTAAACCATATTCGTTATTACCACAATGTTAAATGTTTGATTTAGTTTTAGATGACAACTTCCGCCGTTAAAATTCTTAATGATCTCATACTTAAGATTGGGTGTTACAGGTTTTTTTTTCTTTTATTATTATTATTGATAATAATAATAACAATGTATGCCTACTAGTTGTATCACTTCCGTTAATTACACGGCGGTACGTGTTGCCAAGCTGCATTTTGCCAGAAACCTCAGTGGAGCTGCACGGTGATGAACTCTGCACTTAATTTATGGAAAGAGTGGCGCTTTTCCTTTGTTCCTTCATAGCTCATTCTACGCGTAGCGGGGGGGGGATATCATTTGAAAACCATCTCTTTTGGCATCGAGAGTGGCTTCTTTTCATTTGCTTAATTACCTAATTAACAGAAAGCTAATTACTCTGCAGTGTGCACAAGTGCATTTGAAGAGGTGTTACGTAACTGATAATAATCGTCACTGGATTTATGCTGAAAGAAACGCGTGCTCTTTATCAAACCACGTCTTTATCGAGGGAGAATCAATGTCGTCTTTGATTTATTTTAGGTATCACGGTAATCCAGACAAAACAATGTTAGAATCCTCTGACCTGACTAAAACAGCTAGTTGACTTGATAATATGCGCTTCCCTTTGTAGGCCTGTCGATATTGTAATGAGTGTCACAATGGAATGTGGGCCTATGTTACTGTCAGCCTAAGAGACAGCACAAATCAGGCCTTTCTATTGGGCGTTTTGTCCTTATGTTTTATAGCTTTAAGCATTTCGAGCTAGAAAAAAATAGATCCTGATCCCAAATCATATTAATTTTTTTTGATTTCCAGTACTGCTACAGTAATTTGTTGGATTTTCTTTGTTGCTGATAATTAGACAATTATATTTTTGGTGGAATTACATTCCTCCAGCTTAGTTCTTAGTCAAAACAAATTTAATACAAATTTAAGTTCTTGATAAGCTTTAAAATACTGCTGAATGGCAACTTTTCTGAAGCTTATCTATCCAGAGGTTCCGCCTGAATTTTGTAGTGACCTGTACTGGGTATTAATCAGTGATTGCCTTTTTATAGCCCGTCTCCACTCCTTAGAAGGGGTCCACAAAGAGTCCATCACTCATATTTTATTACTTAAATATAGGACAGTAGGCCCTTCGTTGAGGTCTCTGGGTTTAGTTACACTAACAACTGAATCTCTTAAACCGTATAGGCTATAGCCTACAGATTTAAACAATAAAGCTTTAAGCGTTTTACCTGTCCAAAGTCACTGCAGTGTTTACTACAGACTGGTTTGAAAAGCAGAAGGTAAATGCACTTTTATATGAATTTTTAATGCAAAAATTAACGGAGATTTTGAATTTCTCTAAAGCACACGAACTGCATAATTTATTTAAATAAACCACATAACAATAGGTTTCTCCTAAACGGGCGCTATCAGTTTACTATATATTATGCTGTAGAGTTAGGCTACCTATAGACTTCATATACTATTCTCTATAGCTCCAAAATGGATTTACTCATTTCCGTATTTTTAAAACGCGACATATTGAAAATGACTTATTCTAAAAGTGGCGTCATTGATTTCCAAGTCTAAATATAGACTTGAATATTGATTATTTGAATGGCCTTGAGTTTATGTACATTTTTCTTTTCGCCCTGTATACCTAATGCCAAAATAAGGGTTTTGAAATGCTTGACGCAGATATTGTAGGATACCGTCGACCAAAGCATTTACACAATTACCTACATTGACATCCAAGGAAGAATTAATATCACACGCCTTCATATCTTTTGTCAGAGGGTGGCGCTCTATAACCGGTGAATAGTAGTTAATGGCTCTAGCATGGGAACAAATTAGCTTTAGACCTCATTGATACAGCCATGATAAATTTGCCTTCGTATATTATTAAATGAACTGTGGATTTTAGACCTTGATCAAGGACAGTAAGACTTAAAATATTTACTTCACCTTTAGATTAATGTTGCTTTCGACTAGTGTTAACCGAACTACTGAATCAACCCACGATCCGTCTTTTCTTTGGATGTAAAATGAATGAAATTCTAATTACTGTCATAATGATCCAACACCTACAAAATGCATTTTCTTTCATTGGTGTTAACTGCCACAATCTCGCCGAAGAACCATAAAAGATGACATTTAAAAGGCCTGCTGCTTTCAAATTATATTAAATCGTGTTTCCAAAAATATTTGTAGAATGCCCGGATGCATTATTTTAGGATAACCGGACAAGTTATCAAAGTGTTGCGGTATTTAATGCATAACATTTAAAACAGCCCATCATAGAAGGTGCAACAGGAAACGTGAAACCGTACATAGTACCACTCCGACATTTTAGTGATCTGATGACAGCGCCCATTATTTAATGTAATTTAAAAAGCCGTGTAGCCTGTTCTGTAGGACACGTTATTTTATCAGCAAACTACAGCCAGCTACAGTGGTAAGAGCAAGGCTTCAATCTAAGGAAATATCGCTTTCACAAATGAAATGCATGGCTTTCTACAGCCAGACTGACACTTTTTTCTACTTCCTTGCACATGGGTTTGTCCTTCTACTGAACTTTCACCTCCCGAACTTGCCTCCTTTCATTGGACAAAGTGCAGAAAAAAGGGAAAGAAAGCTGCTTTTGCTTCAATTGTAATTAGCTAGCTCGTTAGCTATCTAGCTTATAGACACTTTCATATTTTAACAATCGCCTTTCTCCAATGCAAACCTCTCCCCCTGAAAGAAATGCGTGCACGATCACGCCTTGTACCCCAAAGACCGTTATCACTTTAATTATTGCTGAATGCTCATCTACTTTTTTTTCCTTCTAAATATTCAATGAAGACCGGCAATGAATGTTATTTACCCAGCAGGTGGATATGACGTAATGGACTTGGAACATCAAAAAATAACAACATCCAAATCCGCGATCCCCCTTTTCTTTCAAGGCGCATTAAAATGTAATAACATCACAAGGCGCTCGCCTTCATACTCGAGGCAGAAGGTGGTGTGAAACTGTACATTGCCTCCGTGTAACGTTGCACCGCGAGTATCCAGCAGAGTTAGTCCCAGGAGCGGAGTAATATTGTTAGTGTTTACAGCGTGGCTGTTGCATGCTTGCCTCGTACACAAGATCGCATGTATAGTTCATTATTTCAAGCACAAGAATTTTTTTTTCTCCTGCGCTGATCTACCATTTTCCCGCATACGGTAAGTGAATGATTGTCCGCTGCTTTCACTCGTCATATCACTGCTCCTGCTCGTCTCCGCGCACGCAACGCCGAGTTTGTCTTTTGTTTTCGCCTTTTTGTTGTTGTTTATCACGCCATTGAAACAAACAAACAAACAGCAGAATAAGCGCATGAGGCTGGGCTGCCCGTCGGGAGCCTCGTCAGCCACCAGGACGGCTTCTTAGGTCGGAGCCCCGACGCGGACACGGCAGCCGATCGTCCGTCTCCTGCTCTTTTTGCAAGTTGCCAAGTTGTTTGGCTGTTTTGTCTCGCTGGTTAAAGCCGCAGTTAAGGTTAATGCTGGTGAGTGTGCTGGAGGATCGGGGCAGCAGGACGCGCACGCCGCAAACAAAGGAAACTTTTAAAGTGGAAGAAGCGTATTCTGGACGAAGGCGAAAGTTTAAAAGCAGTGATTTACTTTTGGATTAAAGTAGGGTTTTTTTCAACCACGTGTTACCTTTAAACCACAAACATCGCTTTCCATGCACACTGGGAGCAGCGGGGTTGCAGCCAGTGCTTCCAGTCACCCAGCAACTTTACATGACTACTTGACTTGTACTATCTAGCTAACTATTCGTTTAAAGTTACGTTTATTTTTCCATGGACGTGAAATACTCGGATATTATCGCCTGTATCAGTATGGACTTAGGTCAGCTACTGTGCTGGGTGATTGATGTTTGAACACTGTCCATTTTTTGGAGAAAAAAAAAGTTATGAACAAAGTTTTAATTCTGACATCTTTAGATAAATTCAGGCTATTTCTGAACAGGAAAAAGTACCCGTAGGAGGTCGGTTTTAGGCACTTTTCGCGGCTTTTACGGCTTTTCCAGTTTACACAGGTGCTCACATTTCTCACCAAGTGCCGCCAGCTTCACAAGTTAGCAAATAATAAAAAGTCTTTTTCGTGAAGCTGCGATTAAAAACCTCACTCGACAGCGGCATAGTTCAGCTTGCACTGTTTTATCAAAATTATAAAATTAAAGTCAAGATACTTTGGAGCAGTTAATGTCGTGCATTTATGCGAATGAATTCGCGCACCGACGAGGGGATTTAACGAGGGCTGCAGTGTCAGTGGCGCGGGGATATATACCTAAACACGACACCTCGGATATAATTTGCAATTTTATTTCAAAGAATGACACATGTACATTTTCTTATCTATATAGTTGGGCGTTTAAAGTGGTTTAAATCCGGAGGTGGATATGGGCTGCATGGCCCTACAGCGAGCAGGCCTGATGTCGGTGCCGTTTATTAAAAGAAAGTGGACAGGAAAACTCTAGAAAAAAAATGTAAAGGTGGTTATTTCTGCGCTTGACGGCGCCGCACTGTTGGTTACGTATTTAAGCTGCTGCTGCTTTTATAAAGCTGTGAAATAGATGCCCGCCGTAGCCTGTAACGTCTCAGAAATGTTATGTAACGTCGGCGCCACGCAAATGGTGTCCCCTTAAAGTACATGTTACATTTACATGTTACATTTACATTACATTGTCTTGTTACATTAAAATAATTCTAAGAGCGCCGTGCATTTAATTTAGTCTAGACTACTGTAAAAATGCAGCGGCCTATTCTGCTGTAAAGTCAGCCCTAATTAAAATCTTTATGTACATTTTGCTACATTTTATATGTAATAGTTGTGCTTTTTGTGTGTGTGTGTTTTTTTTGTGGTAAAAATCTTAATATAGTTTGGAAGTACAGATCATTAAAAAATAAAATTGGCAAATAATCACGGTCAAGTGATTATTAAATAATTTAAGATTATTGACAGAGCTTTATCAAATGCGTTGTGTACTTACGTTAATTTTGTGAATGTGTGTTCTCTTAAATATATTTATAATGGACCTCATCTTTTATCATTTCATTTTTATGGGGGCCTACCGTTAATATTTGCATATGATTTAACAATAGGCAGGAAACAAGCATACAGTAATATTTAAATTAAAAACACTTAATTTCTTTGATGATAAAAAGATAAACCACGACTCATTAGAAAAATTTCAGTTCTGTTTTTAACGACTACACTGCCGAACTTGTATTCCCGTTATTTTAATGATTTTAATGTATCGTCGTGCTTTTTTTGTGAGGGGAGCCTGTAGCTTTAACACCCTCCGCTGGCAGGTCAGCCCTTCCCTTGCTCTTTGGATTAGTCATTGTCTGAGGGAGAAAAAAAACACTTTTTGTAGGAGAAGTAAAGTAAACAGCCTCCAACAAGCGAACCTTGACAGGCCAGATTAAGGGAAACACTGGAGATCAAACGGCTTTGCTGCTGGGTTCTTGTCACAGGCTGCCTGGGAGAGTGATCTGGACTGTTTGAATAGGCGCTGGCTGCCGTTTGTCTGCTTGCTTATGCAGAAAGGGACCTTGCTGAACGCTGACCCCCGTCTTGAGGCCGCCCTGAACGTTCCTCTGGTGCTCAGCTCTGCCGCGAGCGCTCCCCGTCCGGGGCAGCTTCCAGGGGGCCACGGGGCCCTCGGTGGGGCCCTGGGTGCTTTGCTGCCCTCGCTGTCCCTGACTAATCGGGCTCTCCTAGAGGAGCAGGCCCAACCTCATCCCTCTTTTTTGGGGTTGGATTGCAGTCTTAAAGTACCAGGATGTGCTTCACATGTGCGACATACAGTAACCAGCATAATTTATACCCAGCATAAAAATACTCAGTATTTCCTTTGATGTTGTTCAGTTTGACCTTTCATCTGTGCCGATCTCCTCTAATACACAATTTTCCCGTTATTTTTTTCTAGCAATCCTTAGTTTTTTAAGTGTTGTTTTTTTTTATTGTCGCCCACTGGTGTGTACATTATGATGCTTGCTGGCTCTGGGTGTCTGTTTTGACGCCCTCCAGTCCACACCAGTGACGGCCTGCAGAGCCGCACGTTTGCTGGGTGACGAGCTAAAGTGAAACGGCGAGACTCTAGCGGGGGACTAGTGGCTGGTCTGGTCAGGGGCTGTTAGGGGGTGAACTGTCCCCCTGACTGGGCAGCCCCCTTTCATCTAAGAGCCAAGCCTTCCTCCATGCTCGCTGAAATTCCCTCCGCCTGTCTGCTTCGCTTGCCCTGTCACTGACAGTGGCTGGAGGATAAGATGAGTTATTTTTGACTGTATGTGGGAAAAGGGGTTCATTTATTATTATCATTATAATTTATCTTCTGCACTGAGTAATGCGTGCAGATCTGGTGTTTACCAGAATGTCCTAAATTGGGGCTGTTAAAACTTCTCGCATACAAGTTGTGTATGGATGGAAGTAAACTTTTTTTTTTTTTTTTCCCCCTGGCTAAAAATAAATCAGATCAGGGTCTCAAGTCCAGTAAGCGCTCTTAAAGATACGCACGGTTCCAGCTTCCCTGCAGGCCGCTGTCACCACTTCATGTTAACTGTCACAGTAGCTGAAAGTACTTTGGTGTTAATGAAATGTTTGTATGTGGAATGTAGCTAAATAAAAATCGATGGAAATAAAACCAAAACTGGTCTGTTTGAACTGGAAACAGTTGTTATTGTAACCAATGGTTACGCCTTAAACAGTAGCAGTATGATGTCGTGTGCTTTCGTTTGGCGGCTGTCAAACCCCCCCCCCCCCCGCCCCTCAGTGCAGAGAGATGGCCGTTATTTCCTCGTGGCGCGTTGACACCCCGCGCTCCTCGTGACTGCGAGACAGGTGATTGGTCACGGAGTGGACAGCTTCTAGCGAGGGCGACGGACTCTTCCTTCCTGTTGCCATGGTGACCATACATACTTGGTCATTAAACACTTTGGCCATAAGTCATGGTCTTACTGTAAATTTTTTTTTCTTCCAATCAGAAGCTTTTAAGGCAAAATTCTTCCAAAGGCAACAAGACTAAAAAGCTAATATGTCATTTATTAAACTCAGGTATAATATTTGCTGTCATATAGCTGTTACTGATGTGTTTGTTAGTGTAACAATACTTTGCATATAATTATTTATTCATAAATGCTCAGTTGTGGTTTTCTACTCCGAAGAATAACCCAGTAATCAGTAGCTTAGGTGACGAGCCCTACTGCTATCTCACTGCCTATGAATATATCGTAACTGTGATATATTTTTTTGGGTTATAGTTACTGTTTATTCTTTGACCAGATGCGGTCAAATTGAGAGAATATTTATTGGATCAGGAGATCAGCTAACATGCAAGTGTTCCTGCACAGGTTTGAAGGCACGTTTGGGTCACACTGGTGCCAACCCAAGCAAAATCATAAAACGTATTGCAGTTGGCCGCAGTCTCAACTGCTGAAATATTCTCACCTCCAGGGATTTGCCTAAAGGAACCTGTTTCAGTAAATTTAGCTGTCTGATACTTTTAAAAGTCGGGGGGTGAAGTCATGTAATCAGTGAGTACGATTCCCTGTTTGTAGCTGGAAATTCTGCATAGATTTGGGAAACGGTGTAAGCATGAAATATGTTCAACTCGCGTGTCACTTTCTGATGCATTCTGGTCTCCAAATACAGCAGCTACAGCGACGCTGAAGCCTCCCCCCCCCAGGAGGCACAGTGGTCAGTTGCACCTGACCAGATTTAAGATCATCTCAGGTTGTTGTCTTGTTCTTGCTGCATGCGAGTTCGATATATCTATTTTCTGTTTTTGCAATCAGTCATATTTCCATTTTCCAGTTTGTGGCAGTGAAATTAGTCGTAACTTTTTTTTTTTTTTCTCTGTCCGACACTGAGGCTTCTGGTAATGAGAAGGTTGAGGATGATGAGAATCTGTCAGTGAGCCCCGCATAGCTCTCCGTCCTCCGCGGCGTCAGCTGCATGGGGAGCAGTGTGCTGTGTGCGCGCGCGCGTGTGTGTGTGTGTGTGTGCGCGCTCGTGTGTGTGTGTGTGCGTGTGTGTGTGGGAGGGGAGAACACGGCAGCTCCCAGCCCAACCCCCCTCTGGAGGAGTGAAATCTCACAATTACACACTAACCACTCACAGCGAAAACTACCTCATGTGCTGCCTAGTGTCCAGATAGTGTGTCATCATCACTTTCT